GAATTTTCATCTCGATACATGTTGCAACAAGTTCGTCTGTCGTGTAATTTGTCCCATCCTCTTAAAGATTCGAAACATTTCGAATAAATTATATACTTCTTGAGAAGTATGAGAATTCGAGGTCTTTAGAAGTTGACAGCGCATCGAAGTTTTGAAAAGTTTGCAAAGTTCTTAGAGTTGTAAAACTCGATGAAACTCAGGAGGAATATCGATAAATTTTAAATAATAAAACGTAGCAGCGTGATTTCGATCGGTAATAAACTTTCTATCGATATTGGCAACCCAGTCGCGGGGAAATAAATTTGGGACCGAGAAAACTTGGTGACGCGATACGTTCGATGAAACGAGGGATCTTTGGTCGATTACATTTCCGTTCGAATTTACGTTTTTTTTTTTTTTTCTTCTCTCTCCGTTTTTCGACACTATAAAAAGTTTTTGATTTTCGTAGGTTTGTGTGTCGGCAAATTTCTCGTATGGTCAAAGTAAGGTAATACAATAGCGATTTGTCGTTCTTAATTTTTTTTCTTTCTTTCTTTCCACTCATTTCGTTCATTTATTTTCGCTTTGCATCGATTTTCATTTCACGGAAAACAATGGAAACGCGAACGAACGCGCGACGACGCGTACGTACGATTGAATACAATATCCATAAATTTCTCCTCGATAATTCATAAAGGAACGGTAATTTGAAATTTAAATCGAATTTTTAATCGAGTAAAAATCGAACGTATTTGTTTAATTTATACTTCGTTTATACTTTATTCGAAATATTCTCTCTCTTTTCATTCATATACGCGGTAAATCTTTTTTCATCCGCTACGTATATCGACGATCTAACGTGAAATTATCCGTTGGGTTTACCCTTTATCCGACGCTCCGTCCAGTTCAAAATTCACGATCTTAAATCGCGATCTTAAATCACGGGGTATCGCGTTTGCGGAGACCGCAAAGTGATAGCAGCAGGCGGTTAAAGTAAGCAGAATGGAAAGGAAGATTCTCTCGAGCGCGCGGGGGTTAACCGTGTTTATTGGCGCAAGTGGTTAGAGCCTCGTCGCTTTTCATCCTTACGAAGAGATGGTATACGGTTAGATTTTAGCTTCCAATTTGTCCAGGCTTTTTTTTCTTTTCCAAGATTTATCGATCGAAAAGTCGATAAAATTAGAAATAGATAACACGCATCGATTCGTGGAAAGAAAGAATAGCGGATGTCGATTATTTTGGCATCTATATATGGATAAATTGGTCGGAAACGAAGAAGCGTTTGGTATGGTAATTAGTCAAAGAGCGTGGATGTATGGGTCGAAATGGAAGTCGGATAGAACGGAACAGGACGTTTTAATTAAAATCTAGCGGGGAGATATCGATGCGCGAGCCCTGTATTTTGCGGTCGGACCAAAGATTTTGCTCCAACGACCCTGTTCGCGCGAGTCACGGACACGTGACGCCGTTTCTTCTACGCCCTGGTAAAATTTCGCATATATAGCGCGCGATAAATCGCCCGGTTAATCCGGTTTGCAAAAGAACGGCAATGATACGTAATAAATCGCGCGACATGGTTGTTTGCCGAGCCACGAACGAACGAAAGGAAGGAAGGAAGGAAGAGAGATAGAAAATATTTCTCTTTTACGCGCTTGACCACACTTGGAAGAAAGAAGAAAGAAAAAGAACGGTCTTAAACGGCTTTAACGAGGCAACAAGGGAGAAGGAGAAGGATCGTGGCGAATTGTATTTCAGCAGATGCGGGGAAATGGATGTTGCGATTTCGCGCGCTATCGTTGATTAGCAATGCAATTTAAATTAAGCGACGTTTCGGGGAATGATTTGGCA